CACTCCCACGGGACCATGAGTGTAGTTCAGTGCCCACACGGGCTCTCCCGGCCCAGCTCCCCGAGGTGTCCTTTCTTCCTTGAGAAGGATGAAGACAAAGGCATCTGGAAGGTCGGGGAGATCGGGCCAGTATTCCTTCATTCTAGAAGTTTGTTCCACTTTCATTCTATTTTTGGAAGAATAATGAACACTCCTTCACTTTTAATAATGAAAGAGAATGTGAACATTGCATGTCAGATCTGCACACAGTGCTGAAAGAGCTGAGCATCGTGCACAGCGCATGCTTCTTCCCGGCTGACTTTCCCTGGAAACTTGTTCAGAGGTAACGTGCCACAGCTGAGCCAGAACAGAACGTTCTGTACAGCAAACGGAGCCGAGCTTCAGACTAAAACCTCATCACAGGGTTCAGCTTTGGAAAGTAACTTCGCCACCTACTAACTTTGGTTTCAAAACTTAGTCTAAAATATTCTCTATTTTCAAAGGCAAGGAATTGAGAGTAGAGAACATTTAAAGTAATTTTCAAATAAATCAAAAGTATCAAAATTTGGTTCTGGGCCTTCCGAGATTTGACAGCTAGAGATTACAAAATTATTTAACTTTTAATGGTACGAAAATTATCCTCAATTACTCTAATATGGCTAAATAGCAAGAAAAGATTTTTGGTTTTTTGTTTTTAAGGTTTTTGCCATAGGGCACATGCACTCGTGGATAAAGTGATAGACAGTGATAGGGAAAGTGAGAAATCACCCCCCGGGGGGATGGCCACACTGCAATCCTTTCTCCTCCACTCTCCTGCCAGGATTTTGGGCACGTGCACACACCTGGCATGATTTTCCAGCCACCAGGTCCAGGGCACGAACCAGTCAGCCATGTGGAAATCCAGCACCTTAACCACTGTACCACCCACTGGCCCCGGGAAGACTTTTTTAAAGTTCATTTACTGATTGAGAGTGCGAAACAGACGCACCCCAGCACGGCCTTCACACCATGATCTGCCCAAGTCTCTGCCAGCCAGGATTGTGGGTATGCACAATTTCCGGTACATACTGAGAGACCTAGCACTCGAACTTCAGACCTCCCCACAGGGCCTCAGCACCGTGGAGCACTGTGTTAGCCCTGCACCACTGCGGCTGGCTGAGAAGGCTTTATAAACTGGTAATAGTATGCAAATCTGCGAGTCATGGGGGGCCGCGCAACATACAGGAACAAGCTTCGGCTGCCAATGGGAAGGCTATTTGCATGTGTACTTTAAAATATCAGGGTCCAGGGGTCAACAGGTGGCATGGTGGTTAAGGGCGCTGGACTCCCATGTGGCTGACTGCGGTTGGAGTCCCGGATCTAGCAGCTTGTTTTCTTACTTTCCTCTCTGTCCCTTTGTGGTCAAATTAAAATAGATAGATAGATAGATAGATAGATAGATAGATAGATAGACAGATAAATGGATAAAGTTAAATTTTTAAATTATTTTTTAAAAACAGGGTCAAGACCCAAAAGAGTTTTCTAAGAAAGTAAAATATGATTCCACTCTTCTTTTAATGCAGACATCTGAATTTTTTTATCTAAAAATTGAACGTTTTATTTTTACAAACTTACTGTACATACTTGCTCAGATTTTTACTTAAATTATTAATGGGTATTTTAGAAATTGCCTTATTTGGTTGGGTTTCCTGTTAAACTCTGTGGCGCTTATTATGCCCTCAACAAGAAATCCAATAAACACCTAAATTCTACCCTAAGTTTTTCCCAATATATTTCAACCGTTAGTGAAATTATTTCTGACGAATTGAGAACACACTGATGATCAACAAGGCACAAAAGGATCTTAGGATAGAAAAAAAACAACATGAAATTACTGCGTTTAAAACATTTTCTCATGGTTTGTAATATTTCTGCAAATTTGTTGTGATATTTTAAGGCTTCTTATTTTCCGTAGTTGTATTTTAAAAGATCTGGCTCTGTATTATTTGAGTCAGTCTGCTGAGAATCCATGTATATATCTGAATTAATAACCAGCCTATAAGAGGTACATTTTCAACTTAGGTTTTTACTCCATTATGCAGTTTGTGATAAATTTTTGAAATATGAACTGAAAAAGAAAGAATGGGGAGAGACTGCCTGCTCGTGGGAGGGGCGGACAGCACTGAACGGGACTGTACATGGCGTGAGGTTCAGTGACGGCCAGGACAGGGAAGGCCCTCCAAGGGGGTTACACAAATGGCATGTAGGTAAATGGATTAGAACCCAGCCAAAGACAGGGATTTTAAAAACTCCACTGACAAAAGAAGAAAAACAAAACCCTGACCCCTTTTTCTCCCTCCCTGGAAGATGTGCCCCATCCACGGCTGGACTGTTGGGGACGGCACACCCAGGCCCGGACTCCTGGTCTCCCACGTTCTCTGCCAGCTGAGCCACGGTTGTGTGACAGATACCCAGCGGGCCTGAAATGCCCAGTCCTCGTTCTCCTGGTGAGTGCTTACACAATCAAGGAAGATGTAAAAATAAGTAGACGATGAGGAGACGTTTCAGTGCTGCAGTACTGATGTCAGAGTTTATATGTGCAGCAACACACTTGAAATAATTGGGTTGTTTTGTTTGTTTAAAAATGCTTAACAGCATTGGTTCTAATACTTGTACCTGTACCCCTGCTTAGATTTATAAGCGTTTACTACTTAGATTTGGTCTGTAAGGTCTCAGTCTACTTGGTTAGGTGTCTGCAGTTTAACTGAACATGTAGGTGGTATTAAAGTTTATGGAGAAGTTAATCACTGAATATTAATAAAAACAACACTAAGCAAAAAAAAAAAAAAAAGTAATTCTTTTGTAATTGTTACAAACTCTGTAAACTGAGTATAAAGGAACCTAGAGACAGTTAACTTTAATCCATGGTGTAACAGTTACAGCATGACGCAGGAGTACTGCGACTGCCTCCGTGTACGAAAGCACTTCTTGGGAGTCAAAGCCCGAATCATTTCAACCAGAACTCCAGGGCTGTGCAAAATCAAACTAAAATTGGAACCAGTAACATCAAAGGATAAATGTGTTCTCATGGAATTCAGCAGACTGCAGTGGCTGTGGTTACCATAACTTCTAGAAATTGTGTCTTGAAAGTGTCATCACTTTATAGACCATTAACACACTAATATGAGAACTAATCTTTTTTTCTTTAATTGCCAGAGGGTGTGTGATTCACTAGAGAGAGAGGGAGGAAGAAGGCAGCCCCCAGTGGGGCATGGCCAAGCTGTAATCCTCTGTCACTTCTGTATCTTGTCAGGCATACATGCACACGTGTGCACACACATACATGCACACACACACACACACACACGAACCATGTGTTTTCAAGTCACCAGGGCCAGGATTCAAACTGTCCAAACTGCCTGGCTGGCCATCGGGCATCTGGCTCCCTTAACAACTAGACTAAGGGGCCAGCCCTAAAATCCGATCTCTTAATGCAGAATCTGTAATTACCACTGAGAACAGCTCTGCGTTTTTCCATGTTTCTGAAATAAAAATGTCTAGGTCTAAGAATTTTTTTTTTTTTCCTTTGGAGAGGTTTTTTCGCTATAGGGCGCGTGCGCTCGCCAGACAGACAGAGAGAGACATAGAGACAGAAAGCGAGAAATCACCCCCCAGGGGGGATGGTCACGCCGCAATCCCTTCTCCTCCATTCTCCTCTCGGGATCTTGGGCACGTACGCACATGTGCCCGGCGTGAGTTTTAAGCCACCGGGTCCGGGACACGAACCGTGGTTGACTACGTGGGAGTCCAGCGACATAGCCATTACGCTAACTGCTGGTTCCCTAGGTCTAAGAATTTTTTAATTTTAAACTTTTAATATTGGTTTGTCAGAAGTCGTAGTACATTTTTGTATAGAAAACTACGTCATGACTTTATCGATGACCTAATAACAACACAGAAATATTGTTCGATCAGACTACCTATACTGTGGCAACTACAAGATAAACAAATCCTTTAAGAGAAATCAAGTCCCGTGAACCCACTGTCTAGTGGGTTCAGCCAGCACGCTAACACAGTCCATGCGATCTCTATGTCCACAGTCAAACAATTTTTTTTTTTTTTTAGGTTTTTGCCATATGGCACATGTACTTGTCTGAAAGAGAGACAGAGAGAGGGAAAGTGAGAAATCAACCTCCAGGCAGACGGCCAGGCCACAATCCCTTCTCCTCCACTTTCCTCCTGATCTGGGGCATACACAGACAAGCACCCAGCATGAGTTTCAAGCCGCCAGGTCTGGAACCCAAGCCGTGGCCCACCACGTGGGAGTCCAGCACCTTAACTATGCCGCTTGCTGGCCCCCAGATTCTGAATTTTTTTAAATAGGAGACGGATCCTGTGCCTGTTTTGCTACAGCAGAGAAAACTATCCAAATAGCGTATTCGCCTCATCACACTTACACAACATTCGAAGAATGCTAGGAATGACAAAGTAAAAATGAATGAAAAATTAGGCTTAGCTAGGTCAGCTGAGAGTTACAGAACAAACGGGTCGAATTTGGGCAGCAAGTGGTCTGCACACCACACGTGCCCTGCCAGGGGCTGCACTTCCAAGAGTAAGGGTGGGGTGTATTTATGGGCAATAATGAGCCAAACCGTATTAAAACAAACGGGAAGTTTTAAAAGACAAGGATAAAAGTATAGGACATCAGTGACTAAAATGAACCTAAAGCTAAAACTTTCCATTGAGCTCCTTAAGCATACCTTTTGGACCACAGCATCATGTTAAAAATTATTTAAAAATTTTAAAGCTATCTAACTATTATTAAGTCTAAGTAAAAGTTCCAATGTGTGCATGTGTGTGCGCACGTGCACATGTAGACGGATGAGAGGGAACAGAAGAGGCAGGCAGACAGCTAGGGGAGGGCAAGGGGCAGACTGCTTCTAAAATGTATTTACCTTTCACAACTCTGCAACTATTTTCCCAACTAGTTTGAAAAAGGTCAAGAGGTGACTTTGTTCACAGTCCAAGTAAAGAGAGGAACATACCTGGAGTGAGAATCCTTTAATAACTACATTCATTTCCAGAGAACAATAAATACAGAAATTACAAGTGGCAAATGTAACGGTAACATTGTTCTTAGGCACAGAAGGCACCTACATTTTATACAACTCAAAGGGCAAAGGCTTTCTCTTTTGGAAATTAACATCAGGAAAAGCTACACAACAGAAGAAACAAAAGTAAACCTAAAATTAGTTATGCTTGCTCTAAGGAGGAGGCTCTCACCCCAGGGGTCTGTCCCAGGTCAGGAAGGCAGGCGGGCAGGGCTCAGCTGCGGGCGGCCCACAGTCTGGGGTCAGGAATGCGGACAGGCGAGGCTCAGCTGCGGGCGGCCCACAGTCTGGGGTCAGGAAGGTGGACAGGCTCAGCTGCGGGGCGGGCGGCCCACAGTCTGGGGTCAGGAAGGTGGACAGGCTCAGCTGCGGGCGGCCGCAGTCTGGGGTCAGGAAGGCGGACCGGCGAGGCTCAGCTGCGGGCGGCCGCAGTCTGAGGCTGCTCAGACTGCAGCTGCTTGCCAAGGTATTCCCTAAAATAAAAAGTGACAAAGCAAAGAGAATTTAAAAGACAAAGAATCACTTTCAAAACAGAAGCACAATATACACCGCCATATATAGTTACTTGAACATCTAACAGTTAATCACTAAAACAGTCCTAGACAACTCCACTTTGTTTCCCAAGTCGGGCACCCTATGCCTCTGCTGCCGGCACGGCCACGGCCAAGTTGGGCACACAGCAGCTCAGTGCCGGCTGCACAGGCCCGTGATTACAAGGCAACGTGCTGTCTTCTCGGGGAATTCTGTTTTCCTGTTTAGATAAAGGCCTTGCTTATTTCTTCTGCAATCTGATTTAAAAAGTCAAATTAATTATGATTTCATGTGACCTCACACATGTAAAATAAATCTCCTTGTGTGAGAAAACACACGTATCTATGCCCGGGGATGAACACAAGAGCACACGGGAATAATCGCCACCACAAGTAACTGACATCACAACCTGGGGCCCACAGTGGCACAGTGGTAAATGCAATGCTCTGCAGGCCGGCCCAATGGGAGTCCTGGGTTCATGGCCAGGGCCCTCCCTGGGGCCAGGCACGTGCGCATGGCCACAAGCCAAGCTGGGCTGGGCTGGGTTGAGGCCAGGAGCAAGACAGACAACAAGCACTAGGGATAGGCAGGGAGGGAAGGCCGGCCAAGTGTAGGGGATGTGGACACAGATGTGCCCCACCCCAAAGGCTTAAGAAGGTGAATACAATTCCCAGGACCGCGAGAAGTGTTCACGGACTGCACTTCCTGTGATGTGGAAATGCATTACGGTCTTTTTTTCATTCTCATAGGAAAGTTCCTGCAACTGATTCAATTGTTTTGGGTGTCCCATTAAAGTATATAATATTCTTGTGTTACTAGAGACTACCACAACATAATTTAGACAACAGGGATCTTATTTACAACCAAGAGCAAATAAACGAGTTACATCTAATTTATGCAAAGGCTAAAATGAAAGCCATTTTATCAACTGGATTTATTAGACAGGAAAAGGCAAGAGTTCACGGCCACTACTGAAGCTCCGCCCCTGGGAAAGCCTGCACACAGGGACACGGGTGACTGCCTAGGTCTGGCTTGTTCTGCTTTCTGTGGGGATGGAGATGTTTATTACAAAATTGGCACATCTTTTATTTTTTTCTTTATTCATGCTAGAGTACACGCATGTGAGTGTGTGAGAGACACGAGCTCCCTGCACGGGGTCTGGCACGCCACAACCCCTTCCTCCAGCCCACGGGACCCTGGGCACTCGTGTGTGCCCTGTGTGCTTCAGGCGGACTGGGCCAGGAATCGAACTACAGCTGCCATGTGGGATCCAGTTTCTCTTGAGCAGGGCGATACCACCACACCATGGAGCTGTCTGGAATTTGCTTATCTTACACACAATCATCCCTGGGTATTGGTGGGGGATCCCCAGGATACCCCCAGCACCCACACAGAAATCTGCATGCACTCAAGTCCTCTACATAAAACCGTGTTTTACATAGTCTATGCACCGTAATACCGTATTCTGTAAATTATCTCTAGGGTGTTTATAGGTCATCTCAGCGTCAGACACACTGAAAAGGAAACTTCTTTGATTTTTTTATTTTGGGTTTTGCCATAGAGCACATCTGCTCACCAGACAGAACAGAGACAAGGAAAGTGAGAAATCAGACCCCAGGGTGGATGGTCATGCTGCAATCCCTCTCCTCCATTCTCCTCTCAGGATTTTGGGCACACCCTCACACACAAATGTCATGATTTTCAAGCTGCTGGGTCCAGACCTTGAACCACAGTTGGCCATGTGGGAATCAAGCACCTTAACCACAACGCCACCTGCTGGCTCTAACATTTCTCTTTGAGGGAGTCCCGTAACACGGGGTGTGACCTGGCAGCACCAGCAGCTGGCTAGCTCTGCAGACGAGGACCTGCACGTACAGAGCCACTGCATACGTTTCCCTGCACACACTCAAGGAATTAAGAAAGCTTCAAGAGGGAACCAGCAGTTAGTGTAATGGCTATGTCGCTGGATTCCCATGTAGTCAACCGCGGTTCGCATCCCGGACCCGGTGGCTTAGAACTCACGCCGGGCGCGTGTGCGTGCGTGCCCAAGATCCTGAGAGGAGAATGGAGGAGAAGGGATTGCGGCGTGACCATTCCCCCTGAGAGGTGATTTCTTGCTTTCTGTCTCTATGTCTCTCTCTGTCTGGGAAGCGCACGCGCCCTATAGTGAAAACCTCTCAAAAAAAAAAAAAAAAAAAGAAAGCTTCAAGAGTGTCTTCGAATACCGCGTTTTGAACATGAGGCCGTTTGGTGTGGCTCCTCAGCCACGTTACAGGAGGGTACACGAAGACATCGTGCTACCTTCCCTCGCAGCAGCGGGTTCTCTGGATGAAGGGCCAACGTCAAGGACCACACCTGAAGTGCAAGTCTCCCAGAAGCTAGTGCGACCAGTGAGGAAAGCCACCCGCGCTCAGGCTGTGAGCACTCTGTGAACACAGGGTCCCTGTGACTTGGTCACACGAGACGCTCCCTCTGCTTCTTCCTTTCCAGAGACCTGAGGGGGGTCCATTCGCCAAAGCAGACCAAACTGATAGGAGACAGCAGAGAATTCTTCAAGGTGGAGGAAACGTGGGATTCCTTCATGGAAGCAACCCCGCCCAGAAGGGATGAGGTAGGAGGGCACTAGCCAGAGCACAAGGAGCTGAGCTGGCAGAGGACTGAAGACATGCCCGCCACAGCCTCCTCCGCCCCCTCTGCTGCTGTCTTCCCGGCCATGTCTTCACG